GGTAACCAGCTTCAAGCCTTTAGGAAAGCAATGGATTTGGCTCCATGTGTGAGAATGACATCCAACCTGTTTGAAGAATGAATAGAAGTTTCCATGGTTTTAACCTGTTTAGAGTTGCTCTTTTCTCCAGACAAAACTGCTGAGCTTTGAAAGAAATAAGGAATGGGGACAATTTGTCCAGCTAAAATAATCTCAGCCTTTTGGAGAGGAAGATTTCAAGACAAAAATGGAATAAAGGTTGCTATTTTTATAGCACCAGTTCAATATATCTGTTAATATAAAATGTGCCATTCATATACTGAGGAATTTATTTCTCAGAAGTGGCTGGCTGAGAAAAACGGCCGTAATACAATTTTTCAGTAAGCCACAACCTCTGTGCGAATGGCTGCATTCCAATCCTTGCAATCTACAGATAGTTCTCAACTTACAACAGTCCATTTAATGACCGTACAAGTTACAACGGCGCTGAGAAAAGTGACAGGACCATTTTTCATACTTACGACCGTTGCAGCATCCCTGTCAGGGGTGGGATGCAAATTTTTAAACTACGGGTTCTGTGAGCGTGGCTACGTAGGCATGGCTAGGTGAGCATGGCCAGGTGGGCATGTGACAGGGTGGGCACTTTTTTTTATTTTTTTTGTCTCCTGGGCCTCAGGGAAGCCTCCTGTGTGAAGCAGTACAACAGTGAGGGAGAGGATCAGCTGTGCCGCGTGATTTAGATTAGCTAGAAAGCAAGAAATCTGACGATTTCCTGCTTTATAGCTAATTTAAATCATGCGGCAAAGCTGATATTCAGAAAACAGCTGATTGATGGGCGGGGTTGCTCCCAGCTGCACTTCTGGAGCTACCGGTTCGCTTGAACCGGACAGAACTGGGCAGAACCGGTAGAATCCCACCCGTGATCCCCATGGTCATGTGATCAAAAATTCAGATGCTTGGCAACTGGCTCATATTTATGACGGTCGCGGTGTCCCGAAGGTGATGTGATCCTCTTTTGCGATCTTCTGACAAGCAAAATGAATGGGAAAGCCAGATTCACATCACAACCGTGTTACTAACTTAACAACTGCAGTGATTCACTTAACAGTGTCAAGAAAGTGTCAGGATTCCAGCAATCGCTCTTATTAAATCATGATTCTCGAGCCAAACTTCAAAAAACTTCAAAGGATTCATTAGAGGCGACATGCTGGCACTGCCCTGTATGAAGTCAACTCTGGCCTATGTAATTTACAGTCCCCTGTGACCCTGTTTTCCCCCCCTCCCCCCAGGTATTTCATAAACCAGATTCTCCAATTGAGCACGTTCACGGGCTGGGTGTCATCAATCACATTCTCCAATTAAATATATTCGAGGGCAAAAGCTCTGGTATTTTAATTACAAACTTTTAAAGGTAAGAGTTGGAATGTACCTCCACTTTCAAACTGCTGCACTGCTTTTCCAGATTTCCTTCCTCCGCCCCCTTTTTATGGCAACTACTAAAACAGGCATAGGAATGTTTTATGAGTTGACAGAAAGGTCTTAAAATGAGGCAAAATCCACTTAACAATTGTCACACTTGGTACCAGAAGTTTGGGGCTCAATTGTGGTCATTAAATCAAGGATTATCTGTAATTTCCCCCAGGGCTGCGTTATTCCAGTTGTTCACCGTTGCTTTGATTCTGGGAGTTTGTTAATTAACAACCTTGAGAAATCAGGTCAAAAGTAAATAGCAACAGTACCTTGGCGTCAAATACAGCTTCCCTGTTTAAATAATGATTGAGCAAATTTTTCTACAAATTTTGAAAAAGAGAGGGGATGTAATTGAAATAAATGGCATGTATCTCGTGTAATAAATTGGCAGGTTCAGAAAATTTTTGTCCCTGTCACTCACTGTGCAATTTACATACGATTAATTTAGAGGTTGTAATCAATCTAAGGTTTAGATCTGGTTATGCCTTGAATGGTGTGGGAGAAAATTGCAAGCTCTAAGCTAGATTTTTCCAATCCTGTAATACTTAAAATCTTGTTAAACCTGCAATGTTTTACATCCCTGCAAGAAAGCAATGGCAATCAACAGGTATTCCTCGAATTACAAACAAAATTGTGCCCAAAATTTCTGGTGTTCAGTGAGTTTCACCCCATTTTACAACCTTTCTTGCCATAGTTGTTAAGTGAATCACTGTGTTGTGGTTTGTCGGCAGCCTGTGCAGACGGCAGCAGAATTGGACAGTGGGGAAGAACGGGGACCAGTCCGGGAATCTGGAGAGGACATTAAGAGTTGTTAACCTAATCCTGCATAGGTTTCTCTCCAGTAATATCGCACTACTAACTAGAGCATACAAAACATTTGCTAGACCAATACTTGAATACAGTTCATCAGTCTGGAACCCACATTACATATCAGATATTAATACAGTCAAGAAAGTCCAGAAATATTTCACGAGAAGAGTTCTCCACTCCTCTACTCATAGCAGAATACTTTATTTATTGATTGATTGATTGATTGATTGATTTGATTTATATTGTCGCCTATTCACCCATGGTGACTGATGCCACCAGACTTGAAATTTTAGACCTAAACAACCTAGAACTATGACGCCTTTGGTCCGATCTAAGTGTCGTACATAAAATTATCTACTGCAATGTTCTACCTGTCAATGAATACTTCAGCTTCAACCACAATAACACAAGAGCACACAATAGATACAAACTCAAAAATGCACCAAACTTGATTGTAGGAAATACGACTTCAGCAACAGAGTGGTCAATGTCTGGAATACTCTACCTGACTCTGTGGTTTCTTCCCCAAACCCCAAAAACTTTAATCTTAGACTGTCTACCATTGACCTCACCCCTTTCCTAAGAGGTCTGTAGGGGGCGTGCATAAGCGCACCAACGTGCCTACCGTCCTTGTCCTATTGTTTCTTTTTATTCATATCCATTTTATGTATTCATAACCATGTTCATACTTATACCTGTTTTCTAATACTTGCTTGACAAATAAAATAAATTAAAAAACCCATTGCAATGAGGTCCAGAGACAATAGCTAGGTCCAGCAAGGAATAGCTACAGCCAGTGGCACCAAACTCATCCTAAAACATCCTTTTTATACTTTTCTGCACACATTTCACAACTTACTTCCTTGTTCTTTCTTACTGACCGTCTCCATGTATACCCATGTATATCTCAAACTTCTACCCACCAGCTACTTTCAGTTCCTTATTTCTCATCCATGTCCAAATAGATTTATAAAGCTACATACTTTGCAAAGGCATGTTTCACAATTAGCAACGGCTCAGCAGGATTACAAATAGTTCTGGTACATTTTGAAATCATCCTATCTAAAACTTTGTTTCACGTTCCTTTATCCTGAGGTCTGCTATCACCCATGGGCTTTATTGAATCTGATAGTTCCATAGCCTATATTTTTGTTTCCCACAAATCCTTAGCTCGGCTTTTTCATTTTATGCCTTCCATGCTACACACAGCATGCTAATTTTTTTTTGAAAAAAGTCATCACTCCGTACTGCAAAAAGGGAGAAAGCAAATGTTCGCTCTTTTACTGCCACTGAAAAATATGCAAGTTATTTGCGTGATCTCCGGGCAATCGGGCAAAACAAAGGAAGAATTGTTCTCTCTCTCCTTTTTGCTGAGTTGTGTGTTTCTTGTCCTCAGCGCTAGAGGGCACAGAAAGCAACAGAGTCTGACACACACACACACACACACACACACACACACACACACACACACACAAACGCAAAAGCATACACACACACACACAAACCTTTCTCATTGGTGACACATTCTTATTATTAGTGCTGGCAACATCTTTCTTTGGACCTCTGGACCCAATCAGCTCTCTTGTGATTGTGCAAAGTCAAATTGCAAAGCGAGAGAAAACTGTTTCTTGCTCGTTTATATTACCATAGATGATAAATTGTGTGTGGGTGTCTGTGTCTCTGTGTGCGCGCGTGCACCTGTGTGTGTGTGTGTGTGTGTGTGTGAGAGAGAGAGAGAGAGAGAGAGAGAGAGAGAGAGAGGGGGATATATATATACATATAAATATAAATATACATATATATATATATATATAAATACACATACACATGCACACATACATACATACATATATATATTAGACAAGAGATAGATAGATAGATAGATAGATAGATAGATAGATAGATAGATAGATAGATAGATGATAAATAAATCAGGCAGATGGATAAAAGTTGATAAAGATTGTCCCCAAGTTATGACCACAATTGGGAGCAGGATTTCTGTTGTTAAGCAAGGCAGTTGTTAAGTCATGGCTCATTTTATGACCTTTTTTGCCATTAAGTAAATTACTGCAGCGTTAAACGAACCCCGTGGTCATTAAGTGAATCCAAGTTGCTTCATTGCCTTTGTTTGTCAGAAGCTGGCTGGGAAGGCCACCTGTGACCATCATGTGGCCCTGAGATGCCACAAAGATTATAAATACATGCCTGTTACCTAGCACCCAATTTTTGATCCCGTGATCGTGAAATTGTTGAAAGAACTGTGCCGAGTTGCTTACCAACCATGCCAAAAAAAGGGTCATTAAATTGAACGTGATTCACTTAACAACCTCGTTTTGCCATGAAAATTCTGGTCATAAGTGTAGGACTGCTTCTATTTTTTTTTTAAACCCCGCAGCCTTATCCATCTCCCTGATATTATTTGCACCACTGGTGAATTTGAAAATAAAATTATTTTGCACCCCTGGTGAATTTGAAAATAAAATTATTTTGCACCACCGGTGAATTTGAAAATAAAATTATTTTGCACCATTGGTGAATTTGAAAATAAAATCAGGTAGGGTTTTTTTGAGTCTAAAGGGAAGAAAAACATAAAACACACCTCCTGTTGCTTCTCTACAAGTTTGTTTCAAGACGTAACTCTCCAAATATAGCAAGAGGGGAGTGGCATCAAAACTCTAAACTCAGAAGAGTTTAGAAAAGAGGTTTAGTTTTTCACTTCCCTGGCCCATCCAGCAGACCAAAGTCCTCTAGCTGTTCAAACTTTTAATTTCCTCGGAATTGTTTTCTGAGTTTGGGTGGCAGCCGAACAGCAGAATGAATCCTGGCCAAATTCTGCAAGACGCCCCCGTCCGAAAAATTGCCATCTTCGGCGGCACACACGGCAATGAACTCTCGGGGGTGTTTCTGGTCAAATCTTGGCAGGAAAACGGAGCAGAAATCGAAAGGCTGGGGTTGGAGGTACAGCCTTTCCTGGCTAACCCACGAGCTGTGGAAAAATGCTGCCGATATATAGACTGTGACCTGAACCGGGTGTTTGATTCCGAAAATCTTGGGTAAGCTTAAACCGGGTGGGTTGTGGGAATGAACGTGTGTGCAACGCTAGAACACTGGACTGGGTTTAGATATCCTGTGGTATCATCTTTATTTATGTATGATTTAGGGAATAGATAATATTTATGTATTTAAAAAGTTTATGCAGGTTAGTTCTCAACTTACGACCACAACAGGGGGTTGGATTAGATGATCTACAAGGTCCCTTCCAATTCTGATTATCTGTTACAACGGAGCCCAAAATTTCCCTTGCTAAGCGAAGCAGTGGGCGAGTGCGTTTTGCCCCGTCCTGCCACCGTTGTTAAGTGAATCCCTTATCAAATGCCAGGGAAATTAGGAGATTCAGGCCGTTCAAATTAGTACAGGTTAGTCCTTGAGTTTCAGAGCCCAAAACTTAGGTTGCTAAGTGAAACATTTGCTTGCCCCGCTGGACATGCATCGTTTTATATTTATTTATGTATGTATTTTGTCATGTTCGTGTAATGCACAGGTGTCAAACTCAATTTCATTGAGGGCCACATCAGGGCTGTGGTTGATCTTGGAGGGGGCTGGCCGTGGCTGACTGGCAGGGTGTGGCCAATTGGATGGGTGTAGCCAGCTTGACACCACTCCTGGCCAGGGTTGCCATCTGGCCGTTTTTCTGGCCAAATTCGAGAAATCTGGCCGTATTTCTATCTGCTTGGCCGTGAAAAAAAATTTGGCCGTACGAAAGTTGCTTGGCTGTGAAATTGGCCGGATGGCAACCCAGCCGCTCTCCTTCTCTCGCACATGCGCATCACCATGAGCAAAAAATAATTTGGCCGAATTTGGCCGTATTTTGACTTGAGTTTGGCTGCAGAGCGAAACTGTGATCTGGCAACCCTGCTCCCGGCCTGCTGGCATGTTTCCTGTTCACACTGAGCATACTGGGCCAAAGCGATGCGGGCTGTCCCCTTACATTTTCCAGGACAGCCCTGCGGGCCAGACACCCCTGCCCTGTATACTATCTCAAACAAATAATTGTCCAATCTCTTCTTAAAAACCTTTAGTGACAGAGCACCCACAACTTCTGGAGATAAGCTGTTCCACCGATTAATTAAGACAGTGGTGGCTAACCTTTTTGGACACGTCAGCATCTAGAAGCAATCCCCACCCACCGACCCACCCTCCCGCCCCCCCATTACCTGCACTACACCTCACAGCTGATTTTCGGCTGGTTTGAGGCCTTTTCCAGCCTCCCAGAGGCTTGAGGAAGGCTTCTGCAGGCTTTGCAGTCCGAAAACTAGCCCCATTTTGTCACTTCCGGTATTGTTGGAAAAACAGGAAGTCGTGAAACGGGGCTAGTTTTCGACCTGCAAAGCCTGCAGAAGCCTGCAGAAGCCTTCCTCAAGCCTCTGGGAGGCCGAAAAAGGCCTCAAACCAGCTGAAAATCAACTGTGAAGCACGCGCATGCGCAGTGAGGTAAGTTTGCCTGCAGCTTGCACGCCATAGGCTCTCCATCACAGAATTAAGATAATAACAGAGTTGGAAGGGACTTGGAGGTCTTCTAGTCCAACCCTCTACTCAAGCAAGACCCTATATCCAGCAATGGGATTAAAATATGGTTACTACCGGTTCTGTGGGCGTGGCTTGGTGGGCATGGCAGGGGAAGGTTACTGCAAATTCTCCATTCCCTCCCCGGCCCACTAACCTGCTTTCCAGCTCCGTTCTCCTGTGCAGGGCAACCAAACAAGACCCAGTCCATCAGCTGGGCCTCGATAGGAGGCAGAGAATAGATGGGGTTGGCGGGGCCAGTCAGGTGGTATTTGCTGGTTCTCCAAACTACTCAAAATTTTCACTACCGGTTCTCCAGAACTGCTCCGAACCGGCTGACTACCATCTCTGCCTATATCCAGGGGTAGGATTCAAATTTTTTAACAACCGGTTCTGTGGGCGTGGCTTAGGTGGTAGGCATGGCTTAGGTGGTAGGCGTGGCTTGGTGGTCATGTGACTGTGTGGTTATGTTATTGGCTGGGCGTGGCCAACTCAACATAACTCCCATCAAGGCACGCATCTCCTCGCCTGGCCTCTCATGACTGTGGGGATGCTGCAACAGTCGTAAGTGTGAAAAAGGGTCATAAGTCCCTTTTTTTCAGTGCCATTGTAACTTTGAATGGTCACTCCACACAAGCAAAGTACCAGCAAAGAAGGAGAAAAAAAAGCTCACATCCCATTTTGGAATTTCAGAAGAGACCTCGAAGTGGCCATAGCAATTAAACCTTTGCAGAGTTTTTTGAAATTTAAGCAAATGGGTGCTGCTTAGTGAAGGAATGTTGGATGACACACCCAGGTTGGGAAGCTGCCCCTGGCGACTGGAGTCTTGTGCGAATACTGGAATCTATCTCCCTGGCAAATACATCTGGCTTCATCGGGCAGGAGGTTAATTAAAAGACATTAAAAACCGATTTAAAAAAAAGTCAGGAAGAGAAATAAGTTTTTTTTCCCCAAATTTTGTTCTATTGTACTTTACTAATTTATTTGATTCTTTTTGTTAGTTCTTATTGTTTTTATTTTTTGTTTTAAATATGATTTTACATTGTGTAAGCCGCCTTGAGTTGCCATGGGTGAATAGGCAGCAATAAAAATCAAAGAAATAAATAAAAATAAATTTCTATTCACTGGATGCAATACTGTTGAAGACCATTACAATATATTTTTACTTGAAGTCATAAGAGTCACCAAATTATATGTACCAATAACAACTCCCCAAACCAGAATAAAACAAATTACCCATAACAATAAGGAAGCTTCAATCCAAAAAGAAATCACTTTGGTGGAAAAACAAATCTGGTCACGTTGCCAACTTCAAAAGCTGATACAAAAATTTATGCCACCAGATAAAGACTGAATGCACCAATTATCACATTAAACAAGAAGAAAAACTTCTACGCACCAATTCCACCCGCTCTTTCTACAATTTTGTAAACAACTACAAACTAAAAGACTCAAGGTCCATCCCACCCCTGAAAGGACCTAATGGTAAAGACTGCAATGACAACACTATTAAAGCCAACCTCTTTAACACATTCTTTGGCTCAGTATTTGCAAACAGCAATGGATCATGCCCAGTATTTCCTAGCCAAACCACAGACAACTACAATGATCTAATATGTATTGATTTTACAGTAGGCAATGTTGAAAAAGCACTACGCAATCTAAAACCATCTCTATCTATTGGACCGGACGGAATATGTGCCTACTTCTTAAAAAAGCTATCCACTGCCATAGCCGAACCTCTAAGCATAATCTTTGAAAAATCTTTCAGGACCAGCTCCTCCAACTATGGTCACAAGCCACGGTCGTCCCCATCTTCAAAAAGGGAGACCCCAGCCTAGTTGAAAATTACAGACCAATCTCTTTTGCTGCGTCACCTGTAAAGTCATGGAATCAATTAATAACCAATCCATCATCCTCCACTTAGAAACAAACAACCTACTCCCTAATAAACAATTTGGTTTCAGAAAAAAACTATCCTGCAATCTGCAACTCTTACACTGCAAAAACTTATAGACTACACAACTTGACTAAGGCAAAGCAATAGACTCAATCTACATAGACTTTTGTAAAGCCTTTGATTCAGTGGTACACGACAAACTACTACTAAAACTAAAATCTTATGGTATCTCTGGGTAGAGAAGGGTTATGGAATGTAGTTCAAGACCCACCGGATGTAAATGCTTGGGATCCAGAAAATGAGGACGATGCCAAGAAGCTTGCTGACTTTAAACAGAACAACGAACGAGCTCTTTGTATAATTGGACTAACACTGAGTGATCAGCAGCTAGTCCCTATTCGTGGAGAAGAGTCTGCTGCTAGGTGTTGGGAGAATTTGAAGAGGATTTATGTTCGTGACAGTATAGGTGCACAGATACATCTTACATGTAAACTGTTTAGAGCATGTCTTCTGAAAGGTGGAGAAATGTTAGCTCATTTGAAAAGAACTTTTCAAGAGCTACATGAAAAGGAACTGATATTTTCAGAGCTGCATCAAGTTTGCATCATTCTTTCCTCATTGGATGAAAGTTATGATGATTACGTATCTTCACTGGAAGTCCTGACCAAAGATGAACTAACATTGACTGACATAACCGGAAGGTTGTTAGAAGAAGCAAGAAGACTGCTGGATAGGGACCAACTAAGGAAGGAACAACCACAAGAAGAGGCTTTGTGTTCAACTGCTTATACTGTTAGGAAATGTATTTCTTGTGGGGCTAGGGAACATATAGCTAGATTCTGTAAGAAGGGAAAACAACAGAATACTGGTAATCACCAGAAGGCTAAAAAGAATGTTAGTTTAGCTTATGTCTAGCAATTCAACTGTAAACCATGATTTGTGGGTTGTTGATAGTGGAGCATCGCAATGCATTACTAAAGATAGGTTTGTAAAGATGTCCATGAGTAAACAACATGTATCATTGGCAAATGGATGGAAGATGAAGGCCTCTGGTGAAGGTACTGCATATTGTTCTTGTATAAACGAACATTTAACTATGTTATATGTACCTAAACTGAAATTTAATTTATTATCAGTAGGGGCTTTAGTTAATCTTGGTTATGTAGTAACCTTTAGGGGAGATAACTGTATAATAGAGAAAGAGGGTAAAAGTGTTACTGCTACTTTAGAGAATGATTTATATGTGATACATGATGACCAGTTGAAGATGGCTAACTCAGTTTATAATAATGTTAAGCCACATGATGAATAATGTATACATTTACTGCATAGACGTCTAGGGCACATTAATTTCAAAATGCTCAAACAAACTGTTAAATTGTCAGAGGGAGTAAAATTGAAACCCTGTAGCAAGTATTTAAACTGTAATGCCTGTAGCCAAGAGAATAGCAAGGTTACTCCAGCAAACAGACTAAATGGGTTTAAGACCAAAGAACCTTTAGAGGTTGTTTTTGCTGACATAATTGGTCCTAAGAAACCAAGTTTAGGAGGTGCCTGTTATATTTTGAGTATTATAGACCATTACTCACG